CGCCCGCCCACGGCAGGCGCCGATATTGCCTAATTTGGCTGTCGAATTTGGTAAAAAGGACAGCCAAATAGGGTGGGCGCCGTTGGGGTGCAACACTCCTGGGGCAGCTATTTATCCTTGTGCGTGGCCTCCTTCGGTAAAGGGCTTGGCACCTACGTGACCCGCAACAATATCGCATTGCTTGAGGACCAGTCCCTCGTTTCTAAGTTCCTTACAAAGCGTTCCTACCCTGGGTAATCCGACCTCGGATTGCTGATGACTTCGTATAGGTCCGAAGAGAGTACGTTCCGCGTAGGGAGGGGCGTACCGTGCGCTTCGAATACGGTTGTGCTTCTCTTTCCGCGCAAGGCGTGTGTGTTATGAGAACTATGCGTCGCTGTTCGACGAGGTATAGTCGGGGGTTGTAGTGGTGGCAAGATAAATGGCTTCTAAGCTGCGTGGATCTATCGGAGTTCTTTGTTGCGCGTGTGTCGTGTACAGAGTTGAAAGGAGTCTTTGTATAATCGGGGTGGCGTTGCGCATCTTTTTCGCATGATTATAGTAGCTACCGCTCTGCGGTAATGGCGATTAGTATCTTTAACCTAGATCTCGGTATACGTCTTCGTGTTTTCTTTTTCTCCTTGTTTCTGCGTTCTGGGTACGAGGCGGTGGCGTGTTCTGTACTTGCCGTACGCGCCCAATCTCGTGCTGCTTGCCGTTCTGCTTGCTAGCAGGACTCCAGTGGTGAATGAACCTCATGGGAGCTCCCTCCCGTTTAGGCTGTGGCGCGCGCGCGGGCCACCTACGGGTGACTGCCTACACGCGTGTAGTCACCTTCACTTAGGTATAAGGGGACACCTCCCGCTACTACTTCCCCCTCTCTTTTACAACTCTCTTAGCGCGTTCCGACCTTTATCTTCGCACGCGCTTAGCCTGCGTGGCTTTCTTATCTTCCATTGTCTCTTACTTGTCCAAAACCTTTGAAATCGCACCCGAATCACGCCTTCTTGAGACACGCATCGATATCGCCTAGACATCGCACCACCTACTTTACTTCGACATGGCTCCTAAGTTAAAGGCTCCTGTCCCGCAGCACCTGCGCCGTGGTGCCGGCACTAAATCGCCTGTGTCCTGCCTGCGCTGCTTCTTCCAGTGGGCTCATCCTGACAACGACTTCACTTAGAAGGGCTATACCTTCAAGAATGGCAACAAGCTCTGCACCTACTGCTCGAAGGGTCACCGCGACTACATTAAGGTAGGTTTCGCACGTCTTTCGCAGTTTACTTATCTATATGCTGACATCTTTCGTAGATCGACATGCGGCGTTACGGTCGCGCCATAGACAGGATCGCTGAGGCTGTCACCGAGTGGACTGAGTCTGCCGCGGGCAACACAGCGCGTTCGCAGGAGGATCGTAAGAAGCGCGCTGCCTCGATCCGCCAGAGCATGAGAGCCACCAAGGCCCGCATGCATCGCGAGCGCACCACGCGTAATCCCGTCGGCAAGGACCAGTCCCTCTTCCGTAACCAGATCCTAGTGGAGATTTCCGATTACCTGCGTGACATTTCCGAGAGCCTTCGCTACGCAGTACGTTCGCACCCTCTTCGCATGCCTTGTGCATTCGCTGACTAGTCTTGTAGCACGAGGTGGATCGTGACGACGAGCTGGTAGATAATATGAGGGAGCTGACTGACCTACAGTCCTGGGAGGCTGAAGAGGCGGCTACTGCTGCTGAGGACAGTAATAAAGACGATAAGGATGATGAGGATGATAAGGATGATGAGGATGATGCAGGCGATGATGCGTAGTTTACTAGGTTGGCTGCGGTATGTATGCGCCGTGGATGCGCTTCTGATAGGTTAAGGCTACATGGTGTAGTCTTCTGAGTGTAGTTATAAATTCTTGCACTCTGATCTTGTCTTTCGCTTCTTATACGGTGTTCCGCGTGTGTCTCGCGCGTTACGCTTGCGCTTATGCGTCGTGCTGGATGGTTCTTACTTATCCTAGTATTCTGCCACTAGCTGTTGGCAGTGTTCGAGGTTTTCGTTGGTTTCCCATGTGTCTTCCGCAGGCGAATAGCCTGCCTATCGCACGAGGTACTTAATCTTCTGTCCTCTTTTGCGATGGTTGAGGATTTCTTCCACTTCCCATTCTCCTTCGCCCGCGATTTCTACGGGCTCTAGCGGCGTTTCTCCCTCTCTTTGCATGAATGGCTCGAGTAGGGATACGTGAAAGACATCGTAGATTCTGTACTGCCCTAGCAGTTCTAGCCGGTACGCCTGCTTTCCGATGGGTTCTCGTACTCGGAAAGGGCCCAGAAAACGATCTGTTAGCTTACGCTAAGGTCTTTTGATAGAAACGTTCTTAGCGTTTAGCAGGATAAGATCGTTGGTTTTAAACGTTCGTGGCCTATGCCGATTATTGTAGTACTTTGTTTATTTGCTGACGGCGTCTTATATACGGTATGTAAGCTTATCGCGTGTTTGTCGTAGCTACTCTACATGCTCTCTTGCGCTTTGGTTCTCCCCCCGGGGAACGTCGGCCTCGACGTCAATATCTAGGGCAATAGAGTCACCCATTAAGGCTTCGGCCGGGCTTATCTTGATAGTCGCATGGTAAGCGCTGTTGTATACGAGCTGTGCCATAGGAAGAAGTTGGGGCCAGTCGTTTTGTTTGAAATTGGTGTAACATCGCAGATAGTGTTCTAAAAGTTGATTTTGCCGTTCCGTCTGGCCGTCTGTCTGCGGGTGGAATGCGGTGCTCAGGCGTCTTTTGCTGCGAGTATACTACATCAATGTGGACTAGAACGAACTGGTAAATAGCGACCCGCGATTACTAACGATGCTAATAGGGGCTCCGAAAAACGCAAGAATCCTATCGAGCTATATTTTAGCAAGGTTTTCAGCTGAAATATTTGTATTCGTAGGGATATAGATGGCGAATTTCGTAAAGCGGTCGATAACGACGAGTATCGCGTTCACTTCGCATTCATTACTTATCTTCGCCCCTGGGAGGTCCGTGATAAAATCTATAGCCAAATGCTTCATAGGCCGATTTGCTATCGGCAACGGTTGCAACTCTCTATACGCGGGGTGCCTGCGGGTTTTTGTACGTTGGCAGGTAGCGCAAGTTGCCACATAATCCCTAATATGAATAGTCATATCTGGCCAGAAGAATTTGGGTTTAATACTTAAGTATATTCGGGTATAGCCCAGATGGCCTTCCGCAGGGTCGTTATAGTATCTTCGCATGATTTCCGCCCTGATAGCGCTTGACTTAGGTACATAAATTGCGCTTTTTAACCGTAGCAGGCCTTCGCGGTCCTGCCACTACAGCTTCTACTACGCTCCGGCGTCGTCCTCAATGGGTACTCTCCAGCTTTCCGCAGTTACAAAGGGATCCAATCTTTACAACTCCTTTAAGCCTTCTTTAAGCTTATTACCTATAGGCGAATATGCCGTTTCGGCCGCGGCTAGCCTACGCGCCGCGGACCGTGGCACGAGATGTTTATAACCATCTGCGCCAGTAGAGGCCTTCCCCGAACCTCTACGACTACGCTCTTCCTAGGTTTCCCGTGCGTCACTTATAGTGTACAGCCATAGTACTCCTAGCGTAGCCCGATCAGGAACCTGTTCCTGATTCCGTAAAGGTTTTAATTCACGGTTAGGGTTTTCTTAGCAAACGACTTCGTCGTCCAGGGGTGATCGCATGCGCGTACCCCGCGCACCACCGTCCTGCTCTGTCTCTCTAGAGGCCCGCTCCTCAAAATTACTATTTGCAAGTTTTAACTTCTTTTGTAGTGTAGGGAGCATAAGAGTCGCATGCGCGACCTCTTCCTTCCGTCCATAATCCGCCCGCCGGGAAAGCGGGTCGGCCGGATTGGTTTTTCCGGTACGGTACTTGATTTCAAAATCAAACTGGGCCAGTTCTTCGGCCCAACCTGCTTGTCGCCTGCTAAGGGCCTTCGTTTTCATGAAGTATCTGAGGTTGTTATAGTCAGTTAAGACTTCTACTGCGTGCTCACTACCCTCCAGGTAGGGTCTCCAGTGGCGAAAGCACTCGACTATTGCGAGCATCTCCTTATCATACGTATCATAACGCGATTCATAGTCTTTTAACTTCCTAGAATAGAAGGCGATGGGGTGCCATTCCGCCTCATCTAGCTTCTCGCCGAAGAGCTAGGAGATTGTTCCGCCTATGCCTTATCTAGAGGCATCGCACTCGATTCGTATACGTAGCCCTAGGCAGAAATGCCTCAGGAGTAGCTTTATTTGGAACCTTTTCTTCAATTCTTAGAATGCCTTTTCGGCATCCTCTCCCTAGTGCCATTTGGTACGGTTATTCCGCACCTGCGTTTTCGAGTGCGCGTAGTAGTCGTTCCACTTGTGAAAACTTTTCAATAAATCGACGATAGAATCCGCAGAATCCCGTGAAACTGCTAATATCTCTTAGATATATAGGAGTAGGCCATTCTTGTATAGCCTTTACACGGTCGTCTTCCATACGAATTCCGTGCGGGGTGACAATAAATCCGAGGAAATCTACTTCGGTCACCGAAAAAGCGCACTTCTTCAGGTTGGCATATAAGCCGTAGTCCCTTAGTCTTTTCAACACGATTCGCACATGCTCCGTATGCTCTTCGCGCTTAGATGAATAAATGAGGATGTCGTCCAAATATACCATATATATGTGATCAACCAGGCCCGCCAGAGCTCGGTTGATGTAGGACTGGAAAGTAGCGGGCGCATTCGTTAGCCCAAATGGCATCACTAAGTACTTATAGTGGCCATATCGCGTGCGAAACGCGGTTTTCCACTCATCGCCTTTCTTGATCCGTATCCTATAGTAGGCATCCTTCAGATCTAGCTGCGTGTACACTGCGGCTTGAGAGAGGCGATCGAGCGTTTCGCTAATAAGCGGTAGTGGATAACGATTCTTTATAGTCACACTATTCAGACCTCGGTAATCGTCGACTAGGTCGATACGATGGTCATGCGCGGCGTTTGCGGGCAGGGTGCTAGCCTGCGCCGTATCGAAAACATCGGCGAATTCAGAGTATTCTGCCGGAATTTGATGCTTGGGTTCATCTTGAGTTTGATACTAGTTAAGTTTCTTAAAACGGGCCGCAGGCGTCTCGCCTGCGTTGGCCATCGGGTATGCCGCGTAAATAGTGGCTCCTTCTTATAACGCCTGAGTGACTTCCTCGATGGTAGCGTTCTCGGTTGGGGAGTTATTTAGTTAGGCTGTTCCCTCACGCTAGTTAACAGTGGGATTATAGGCGCGGAGCCATAGATATCCTAAGATGATATCGTAACCGGCGATTTCAGCTACATAAAAGACGGATATGTTGTCGGCGCGGTTCCTATATGAATCGCGTACGCTAACTGCGTATGTAACAATGCTATAGGTTGGTACCTTATGGCCATCCACCGTATATGCCCTTGGGGCCGGTGTCTATACCGCCACGAGTTTATTTCTTTTCAAGAAGTTATGGGATATAAAGTTCATGGCTGCTCCAGAATTAAGGAGGGCCTTAGTAGGGTAGGTTTTCCCTACGGCTCGCATGCTTACGTCAAGTGTAATGCGTTCGGCTTTCCTATTTGTCTCGTTCCCGAGTTGAACGGTAGCCAAATTGGCCTGGGGTCTCTTCCCCTTATTGTCCTGTGGATATTTGTTCTTTATGTGCCCCTGTTCTCCGCAGTTGAAACAAACAATGTCGCTGAAGCTGCGGGAAGCCTGCGGTACGGGTGCTGGCCCTATACCACGGCCATTCCTATGGGGTTGAATACGATCACGGTATGATTTGAAGTCTTTATTTCTAAAGGACTTGCTTTTCTTAGGGATTTTCCCTTTTTCTTTTCTCTCGCTGCTGCGCTGAGAGTGCGTATTGCCTTCGATTCGCGTTGCAAGCGCTACTAGGCCTTCCCTTGTTTCAGGGATTATCTGCATACGCAATACTTCTTTACGAAGGGGGTTAGTTAGTTTCTGTAAAAATGCGCCGCGTCGCATGGTTTTATCAGGCCTTCCGCCTGGTAACTCGTCTTCCAATGAGTTAAGATAATTTGCGAACGCGGCCGCAGACTGATGGTCGCGCTGCTTCGCAGTAAACTACTTATGTTCAAATTCGCTTGCCCTGTTGACTAGGTCACGAACTTGGTCAAGGAGGTGTTCCTTAAACATCTCCCAGGTGATAGCATCCCTGCCGCCAGGGACAGCGCGCGTGAATCGCCTATAGTTCGCCTGCGCGTTGCCCTTTAGCTTGGTAGAAGCATATACCACTTTCTTACGTTCACGTCGGAACGTGCGAGGCTGCAGCTCGAAGAGTGCTTCGCAAGCATAGATAAATTCGCTATACTCCTGCACAGACTTGCCAAAGTAGTTACCCGGTCCCTCAACTCTTGGTTAGGGTGAATTGCTACGGGTACTAAATAGACTGCGAGTGCGGTTCGAGTACGCTACGGGTGCGCGCATAAACCGATCTTCTTCCTCGCTTCTTTCCTCGCTCCTTTCGCGTATATGTATCGGTGGTTCCGATTCTTCTTCCGCGGGTCGCATACGTCGTTCGCTATTTTAGGCTAGTTCGCGCTGTTACTGTTCGAGTTCCTGTAGCCTGGCTAGAACCTGTCGAAACGTTTCAGGGTCGGGGGCAAAATCTTCTCTAGGCGCTAACTGCGGCGCTATAGCGGGACCGGTAGGATTCGTCTGTTCTTGCTCCGGACCGCCGGTTTGTCGTAATTGGGATCGGGTAACCATATTGATCGAGCCGTCGGAAAGGGAGGAAATAGAATGTAAGAGTTGGCCGACGGGCAATCACTAGGTTACTAGGAAACGTAGGTTGGACGCAGTTAGTTCGCACCAGGGTCATACTTAAATTGGTGTACAAACTATTTCCTGCCCCAGCGCCTATTGCTCCTGGGGTAGCTATTTATCCTTGTGCGTGGCCTCCTTCGGTAAAGGGCTTAGCACCCACGTAACCCGCAACAACATCGCATTGCTTAAGGACTAGTCCCTCGTTTCTAAGTTCCTTACACCTTACTATTAGACCATATAAGGAGAAAATTAACCTAGATGTTACAACCATCGCCTCCTATAATATAATCTTAGGAATACCATAGTTAAGGACATATAAACCTTACATTCGATAGAGAATAGGAGAAATCACGTTCCCAGACGAAGATTATAACCGACACCTTATAGAAGCCTAGCGGAAAACCGAGAGCTACGCAAGCGAGAGCCTAGAGAGCTAGAGGAAGGAAAAGCCAGAGCTTAAGAGTTAGAGCCAAAGTAGCCAGAACTAGAAAAGCTAGAGCTATAAGTACTAGAGCTCTAGAGGACCGAGCGTTTAAAATAGACCGAACAGTACGCGCGCTTCCCAAAAGGATCCCTTAGAACAAAATACCGAAACCTCCGAACTAATCGAAATCAAGGAAATCTCCGCCGCAGCGCTTAAACGAATAAGACGCAGGGGAGAAAAGATCTACATAATATATTTAAAGCCCAGTTAAGAAACGGAAAAACGAATTCTAGCACACATACAGGCCAGTAGGCTAAAAACCGACGGGCTAAAACCGGCCCTCGGAGACGATCTAACCAGGATCAAGGAAGGTCACCTACTAGGGGGAAAACCTATACCTGCGAAAGGAATATACTAGCCTAGTACGCCTCTAAAGCGAGAGCGGGAACCGCCTATTCCAGAATTAGAAACGGTACTAGAAGAATACTAGGATTACCAAGCCCTTTTCCAAGAACGAGGCAAAGGCCAACTCCCAGAACATAAGCCATAGGATCACGAGATACCTTTATTACTAGGCACGCAGCCAGCGTTTAAGCCCATTTATACACTATCCGAGAAGGAAAGCGAAGCACTTAGGGACTACCTAGACAAGAACCTCGAACGCGGCTACATCAGGCCATCAAGCTCGCCAGCCGGATACCCAATTCTCTTTATTCTAAAGAAGAATAGTAAATTACGCCTCTACGTTAATTATCGTCAGTTAAACGATATTACCATCAAAAACCGGTATCTATTACCGTTAATTACCGAGCTTCAAGATAAGCTACGGACGGCAAAATACTTCACTAAACTCGACCTTCGAGAAGGCTACTATTTAGTACGCATAAAGGAAGGGGAAGAATAGAAAACCGCGTTTAGGACACGTCTAGGACATTACGAGTACACAGTTATACCTTTCGGTCTTACGAACGCCCTAGGAACGTTTTAAAGTCTAGTTAACGATACATTACGCGACTATTTAGACGTCTTCTATATAGCTTACCTAGATAATATACTCATCTATTCGGAAACCCTAGAAGAGCATAAAAAACACGTTAGGAAAGTATTCCAGGTACTATAAGGTAAAGACCTATAAGTCGTACTAGAAAAGTACGAATAGCACGTCCAAAGGACAGAATTTCTAGGCTTTATCATCTTACTAGGATACGTAGAGATAGACGAAAAGAAGCTAGATACTATACGAGACTAGCCAGTACCTAGAACCGTTAAAGAAGTGTAGTCCTTCCTTAGATTTACTAACTTTTACCGGAAATTTATCTAGAAATACGCCGAAGTCTTAGAACCCCTCACGAGACTCGTACGAAAAGAGCACAGATTCAACTAGGGAGAAGCTCAACAAATCGCCTTCGATTCGCTAAAACGGATATTTTATAAAGCTCCCGTTCTTAGGATCTACAATCCGGAACTACCAATCGTTATCGAAACAGACGCTTCTAATTACGCTATTAGGGCTTATATTAGTCAGCTAGACGAACAAGGAAAACTCCACCCTATCGCGTATTACTTACGAAAGATAACCCCGCCGGAGCTAAATTACGATATCTATAATAAGGAACTCCTAGCCATTGTTACGGCTTTTAAAGAATAGAGACACTACCTTAAAGGGGCAAAATACTAGGTTATAGTCTATTACAATCATAAGAACCTAACTTACTTCACCACCACTAAGGAACTAACCCGAAGATAGGTCAGGTAGGCTAAAGAATTAGCGTCCTATAACATAAAGATTACCTACAGAAAGGGATTAGAGAACGCCAGAGCCGATACGTTAAGTAGGAGAGCCGATTACCTCGCAGGAAAACCCGGTATTCAGCTAGCGGTACTATAGTAAAACGAAGATAGCTCCTTAGAACCTACAAGGGTAGTCGCCCCGGTATACCGTACAGAACGATACTAGTTCGACATAGAACCAGATAGATACGTTCCAAGCAGGCAATTAGCACCGACAATCAGGCTCGAAAACAATTCCTAGCTCGAGAAAATTCGACAGGAATATAGCTACGATACGATAGCACAAGAACTTATAGATATAAAAGACGACCCGAGGGTTAGTAAAGATACAGACGGAACAATCCTATTCTTAGGATTAGTCTACGTACCAAGAACACTTAGAGAAGGTCTAGTTAAAGACATCCATAAGCCACCAGCACACGGTCACCAAGGAACCGACAAGACAATCGAACGAATCACCCGGCACTTCTACTTCCCAGGCCTCAGGAAAACAGTCCAACAAGTAATCTCACAGTACGATCTTTACATCCGAAGCAAAGCCGCGAGATACGCTCCCCACGGACTACTACAGCCGCTCAAGGCACCTAAACGGCCATAGCAATCAATCTCGTTAGATTTTATCACGGATCTACCACCCTCGAAGGAGCCACTTACCAGAGTAAAATACGATTCGATACTCGTCATCGTCGATAGGCTCACTAAGTACGCGTACTATCTACCTTACCTCAAGACGGCAAACGCGGAAGAACTCGCCTACACGTTCCTTAGGACAATCCTCGGCAACCACAGGTTACCAGAAGAACTAGTATTAGATAGAGACAAACTATTTACATCCCGATTCTAGCAGACTCTCACCCGTCAGCTTGGTTTAAAATATAAGATATCCACAACGGCACATCCGCAAACAGACGGATAAACGGAACAAACAAACTAGACCCTAGAACAGCACCTACGCTACTACGTCAATTACGCATAAGATAACTAGGTAGAACTCTTACCTCTTACCCAATTCGCGTACAACAGCGCTAAAGCAACTACCACCTAGGAGTCGCCGTTCTATACCAATTATAGATACAAACCAACGGCTTATAATAAGCCGCAGCCAAGCCAGTCCCTTACCCAGAAAGGAATCCTAAAGGCAGACCAACTAAAAGAACTATATAGACAGTTAAGCCTCGACATAGAATACAATAGATTTCTAATATTAAAATACTACAATAGGCGGCACCAGGAGGCACCGACCTTTAGGAAGGGGGATAAAGTTTACCTCCTCAGAAAAAATATCCGGACAAAACGGCCCAACAACAAATTAGACTTTAAGAAAACGGGACCGTTCGAAATTAAGGAACAAATTAGAAAAGTCAACTATCGTCTCAAACTACCGGATATAATAAAAATCCATCCAGTCTTCTATATCGTACTACTAGAATCGGCACCTAAAAACGCCACCGCAGTATAGCAGACAGAAGAAATAATACCGGAAAACCCTAACGCCGACGAAAACTAAGAATAGATAGTCGAGAAAGTCCTAGACAGCGGACACGTCAACGGTTAATTCCGCTATCTCTTAAAATAGAAAGGAAATTAGGATAATACCTAGGAACCACCTAAGAACTACGACGGATATTAAGAACTCATTAGAGAATTCCACCGCCGAAATCTAGATCGCCTAAAGCCGACACGTTAAATTCGCCAGGAAACGGATCAACCTCCCAGAAGGCAGGCATCCGCGCGAAATCCACCGGCTCCAACGTCTCAGGAGGCGCAGCAGAACCAGCCCCAGGAGAACCCACATCCGCAGGACCCACAGAGGTATCAGCTAAGGACGCGCTACGCAAGCGCTTTACATACCGATCGCCACCCTCATCCTTAGGGTTAACGGCATCCCCAGCCTCACGAGTAGCCTCAAGGCGCTCAATCTCCTCCAGATCCTCGACCGTCTTCGCCTTCTTAGAAATCATCAGATTACCACGACGCTTTAGTAAATCACGCTACTTACGAACGCGCTAAAGACGGCTCATATTCTTCTACAACAAATCCAGCACCATTTACTCCTCGGACTCCGTCTTATCCAGGGCACGCCGTAGACGGGCAACTAAGACAAGTTAACACTACGCAAAGAAGGGAAGAAGGAACCTACAATCAGAATCCTCTAGACCACCACCATCACAACCTATCAGGCCCCGACGCGTACATTCACCGCAGCGCTTATAACCCAAATCCATCTTACAAACGACCTCACGATCGCTTCCCTTATAACGAACGTTCCACAACATACATTCCGTACAAGGAACAGGCATCGTATCTCCAAGAAGATCAATCTTAGAAGCTAGAGACTCACGCTCAGCCTTCTAGTCGTTACGCTTACGCTTCT